GTTCTGCTTTAGGCTCAGGTCATGATAGTGGAGTCCTAGGATCAAGTCCCAAGTCAGGCTCCCTGCTCAGTGGGGAGTCTTCTTCCTCTCCCTTTACTCTTCCCCTGCTCCTGCTCTCTCCCCTTCTCTCTCTCTTGCTGACTCTCTCAAATAAATAAGTAAAATCTTAAAAAAGAAAATACTGGTTTTAGCTCCTTACTTTAGGCACTTACCATATCTTTTTTTTTTTTTTCCCCTCCCTAGTAGTTAGTTTTGGCTTTATCTGGATGTTTCCTCTCCTCTGTCTTCAAGTCACAGCTCACTTGATCAGGTTAGCTTGTCTCTGAGCAAACACTCTTTTTCTCATTCTTAAGAGGCACACTCATTCCTATCTAGGAGCTTGGATTCTCAGCCACCATCTAGAAAACAAAATACTATAATTAATCAGAGATGTGTTACTATTTGTTCATTTCCTACTCAGTTCTTTCTTTTCTAAAGCTATAGCCTATGCCTCCAACGCTCCTGATTTCTTCTCCATGACTAACTTTTATGTAGTGATGTTTCTTTTCTTTTAATGGTGCCATTCATCCTTAAATGAGTCAGCACAAATTAGATCAAGCTTAATGAGCCTTGGCACAGGTTTGATGAGTCTCCCACACTTTATAAATACATCTACTGATTAGCCACCTCCCAATGCACACACATCGTAACGGAAGTTATCACCATCAGCATCCCCTCTCTTCTCTCCCAAGTGCTTCACAAGTCAGTTACTCGTTTGTGTTTCCTTTCCAGAAGGCCTGGTCCACATACTGGACCAGGTATGGTAGCTGTATAGAGCTTCATGGTACAGAACTAGTCCAAGTCGTGGGCACACTTCCCTGTGCACTCAGTCTTTTGATTTTCATACTTCTTGGCATTGTGTTGTATTTTCAATTGAAATTCCAATCCTTAGGTTCTCCTTTGACTGACTCTTTTAGCAAACTACCTTAATAAATTGCCTGATCTCCCAGACTTTGATAGTTTATTTTTTAAGACACCTCATTCTTTCATGATCCATGTTAACTTCTCTGCAGGCATCATGAATTTTCATCATTAGCAGGTTTCTACTACCCTTTCTCTAAGTAGCTATCAGACTGTAATCGATTCAAAAAACAAAAGAACCTTGAGGAATATTGGCAAAGCCCTCATCTTCTCCACTTTCTAACCTCAGCTATAAGGACAGATTAGCTTATTGGTTCAAACTCTGAATTGAACTTTGAGACAACTGATTTGGCAACTCTGTCTCCAAACCCATGCCTTTCATAGGCTTCTTTCTCTGTCTCAGTAAATGGTCACTTCATCCCTTCAACTGTTCAGGCCCAAATCCTTTTATTCATATTGATCTTTTTCTTATACTCTATACCCAATTTATTTTCAAGTCTTGCTTGTTTTCCTTTAAAATATATCCAGAATGTGATCATTTCTCACTACTTCCACCCTGTGACGAGTAAACTCCAGGAGAAGCCCCTTATGCCCATTTGCCTATCTAAAGTTTTAGGCCATCTACCCATTGCTCATATGGAGCCTTGACATAAAGCCTGATTAGGGAGATGAGTTCTGCTCCACACCACCTCCTCTCACTTCCTGTTGTTGTTTATTATTTGCTTTGATTCAGAAAGAGAGAGAACAAGAGAAAACTCTCAAGTCACTACTAAGTGATAGTAGGAGTCAAGGCCCAACTGCTGTTTCCATGGGAAGGACAGCTGAATATCTCTGTGTTTATGTATATGTGACAGTTTGAAGATGAATGGAAGGAGAGAAGAAAGTAAGAGAAGGGAAGTGTTTTTATAAAATTCTCTTTTGAAATTAAGAGGCAGTTTTGCATGATGGCTAAAGAGTGTGAACTCTTAGAGACAGTCAGCTTTGGTCTGAATCCTGCCAGTAGCCATGTGACATTGGGCAAATTCTTTTTTCTTTTTCCAGTTCTATTGAGAAACAACTGGCATCTATCATTGTATAAATTTAAGATGTATAGCATAATGGTTTGATTTATGTATATTGTTAAATGGTTATTACAATAGGTTTCGTTAACATTTGTCATGTCATGTAGATGCAATTTTTAAAAAGAAAGAAAATCCTCTTTGTGATGAGAACTCTTGGGATCTATTGTCTTCACAACTTCTCTGTATACCACACAGCAGTGTTAACAATAGTCATCATGTGATACATTACATCCCTAGGACTTATTTACCTGATAACTGGAAGTTTGTGCCTTTTGACCCCCTTCCTCTAATTCCTCCCCCACCAAGACCCCACATCTGGTAACCATAACTCTAATTTCCTTTTTTACGAGTTTGGTTTTTTGTTTTGTTTTGTTTTAACTTTCCACATGTAAGTGAGGTCATACAGTATTTGTCTTTCTCTGTCTCACTTATTTCACTTGGCATAATGCCTTCAAGGTCCATCCATGTTGTTGGAAATGATAGGATTTCCTTGTTTTTAATGGCCAAATAATATTCCATTGTATACAGCTTCTTTATCTCTTCATCTCTTAATGGACTCTGGTTATTTCTGTCTTGGTTATTATAAATAATGCTGCTATGAATATGGGAGTGCAGATATCTTTTTGAGTTAGTTTTTTTGTATCCTTTGGATGTATTCTCAGCAGTGGAATTACTGGATCATATGGTAGTTCTATCTGTAACTTTTTGAGGAACCTCCATAATGTTTTCCACAGTGGCTGTAACTAGGCAAATTCTTTAATTTCTCTTTTCTCAGTTGCCTATTGGAGATGGGGATAAGACTAGCATTTGCCTTCCTGCATATCATTGTTGTGAAGATTAGGTGAGTTAGTACATACAAAGTCACATTGTGGACATTAGAATTCCTGATAGCATAGGGAGTTAGAAGCATTTTTGTGATGAACCATAAATATCTAGTAACCCCATTTCCATCGATTAGGGTTCTCTTTCCATGTGCTGTGGAGAGCTGTTTAAAGCTATACATTAAGTGCTTTCGTCTCCACAGAATCACCAGTCCTGGCATGAGTCTAAAGTCCTCAGTATATTATCATTTACTCCAGTACATAAGGCAACAACAAGCTCTACCCATTCTTTTCCTCCTTTTTTTTTTCAAGGAAATGTATAAATATTTTAATTTATATATCATATTACAATGAATCAATATGGAATCAAAAGTCCACAATTACACATTCATAAAAATTCCATACATCATCCTCAGAATAATCAGTTTCTATACAAAGATTTATAGATGTCCAATGTATGTAATTTTTCCTCAGTGTGCTACAGAGTTTAGAGGTTCTGCTCAAATATTCCCCAAATCAAGCTCAGAATCTGCCTCTTCATCAATTTCTCCAATGACCGCAACATAGTCACCTCTTACGATGTATAACCCCAGCACCACATGTTCTACTCCCTGTGAAGAGCTGAACGCTTGTTCATGGCTTTCATCCAAAATCAAATTAATGGTCTGGTCAAACCCTTTCAGTGTTCCCACAATCATCCTTCCCTTAGAAGTTATAACTGCAACAGTTCAGTTGATGTAGTTTTCTAAGGAAGACGTCATGATGCTCGGCCCCGCTGCTCTGGGCAACACCCATTCTTTTCGTCCTTTTCCCTGCAATGGGATGGTTCATGTTTGGGCAAAGAGAGTGGAGTTTGTTTGTAGTGTAACGTCCTAGTTTGTAGTATGAGTTTCATTAACTTACTGCACCTTAGCCTTCTGCTAAAGCTTTCAGTAGAATCAGCTAGAACTGACCATGAGGAGTTACTGCCAAAGTTTGCATTCTTTACTTGACATCCTTTTCATAGAAGTCTCACCACAAGTGCTTCTCAGTAATTTAGCATTTCCTAATGTTCTTTCTACGCTAACATCCAGGAATGTATAAACAAGGACAGCAGCAATTAGGTGACAAAGAACAAGGTGTTCAGGGCTCCTGTCTATTGAAAATTGCCTGACAGCATGGTATGGAATAAACCAGGCCAGGGGCCAGGGGTAGAGTGAACAAGTTTGTTTGTCCAACACCCAGCCAATCAACTGAATTCTTTCCTCATTGTTTCTTTTGGCTTCCATGTTTGTTTGTTGGTTTGTTTTTCTGTTCTCTATCCTGGATTTTTTTTCCCTCAGCTGTGTCTATTGTCCTTCCCCCCACTGCATTTTACTATGTCTCTAACTTTCCCTTATAGAAGATAAGTAGACCTTTACATTCTAAATTAGAAAATGTTCTAAATCCTCTTTTTTCTGTTAGGATCAAAAGATTATCTTCAGTTAAGGACTGTGAACTTTTAGTGTGCTCAATGCGAACACTATTGTTCTTTTAGGTAGGATAATTTTTTACTGTGGAATTGTCCCTGGCATTGCAGGGCGGTAAACATCCCTGGCCTCAGTACCAAGTGCCAGTAACACATCTCCAGTCATTGTGACCACCAAAAATGCCTTCACACATTTACAAACACCTCACAAAGTAGTGGTAGAACCTCTCCTTTAGAACCACTGCCAGGTATGCAATTAGAAGCATGTCTGCAAACACTGGACTTTGCTGCTTGTCATCAAATATTCTTTGTAATTTGATGGAGCAATTTAATTGCCAAAGTTTTCATGTCTAGTGAAAATCTAGCTATTAAAGCTACTACAGTTGTCCCATTCTGTGACTATACTAGCTACATTTTTCAAAATTCAAGACTTAGGAAAACCAAGATGTTTATTGGTAGGTTATATATATGATATTTTGCATATATAAATAATGTTTTCTCAAGAAAAATACTAGGTTTTCATAAAGTTACTGGTTTATGAAACAAGTATGTGAAAATGACTTGTAAATTTCTTAAAGTGTACTCATTTTTAATTGAGAGAATTAAAGTTTTTCTTTTAAAAAGTAATTTTAAAAAATACTGCAAAGTACATAATGCTTTAGAATCTCTTGTACTAATGATTTGTGACTTTGCACAGTAAGAGTATAATGTTTTAGTTTGCTAGTGTTATACAAATAAGTTATAAATGTTCTTAATTCTTTTATATTTCAGAGAAAGAGATTTGAAGAAAACTGGTCACAGGCTCAGCAAAACCAAACAGAAGAGAAGCAGAAAAAGAAATAAAAAGCAGAACAGTCATAGTAAAATCATAGAGGAAAACTCATTTGAAACCTTAGGTTATCACATGCTAGGAGATCAGGACCCATCTCAAAGTGAAGAGGAAGACTTGGAAGACACCAAAAGAGAATCGGCATACACTTACACTGGTGGACTGGGAAATGAACAAGGAGATTTAGTGAACAGCCACAAAGATAAAGTATGGAAAAGCATAAATCCTGAAGATAGTTTTCCAAATGTTGTATCTGTAGTTGAGCTGGACAATACACCAAAAAATTACCTCCCTAAGGAAAACAATGATTTGTTTCAAAATATGTCATTGATGTCAAATGAAAACTCTGTTACTTGCCCGACAATGACTCAGAATCTTTCCTGTGTAGCAAGTGTTGGCTGCTCAGGCATGAGGGTAGGAAAGCATCCTGGACATAGGCATCCCACAGTATCAGACATCCAGGGCAGATCCACTGATGTCCCCTGCTCATTTATGCAGAAGAGAGAGAAGGTAGATAAAAGACTCCAGAATGAAACAATTCTGTGCCATCAGTACGGGTCCGGAACCTCAGAGAAAGGTTTAAGAAAGGAACAAGGAGTAAATGCAACTAAAAGCAATTATTGGGCATTTTTTTCAAACAATCTATCTGATGAAGAATTGCAGCTGGGCTCTGAGAGACAACCCTGTTTGGGGAGCTGGCCTGAGGGACCTCATAAATTTATATGTGAACAAAGACCAAAGAAAGATAGATGGCAAAGGCTGGCCTCTCCAGACAGCAGAGGACAATTGATTACATTGATCTCCTCTTCTGAAGAAACTTCAGTACCAAGAAGCAGTCCAGAAACATTGGTAGAAGAGAAGCTATTGGTAGAAAATAAAGATTTGTCACCCTCCACTGAGAATACAGATTCAATCATAGCAACAGAAACGAGTATCGTTAGAAGCTGCTTGCCTAAACTGGATATCCCAGAGAGTGACTTGTACTCCACAAAGAATAAGACGAGGAGAGAGAAAAGGATTTTCAATTTGGCACCAAACTTTAACTTACTGGCACAGAACTCTATCAGTGTAAAAGAAAGAGGGGAATGTGGCTTGTTGACAGAAAGCCATGGACTGAAAATTATTTTGGAGGAAGAAAAAGATAGAATTTCAGAAATAAATAATAAAGAGGAGAATACACAGAAACTTACAACCTTTAATCATCATCCATCATGGTTTTACTTTGATATTATCGAAGATCCTCCTCTAACTGTTGGTAGACCATCTTATTCTCATTACTTGACATTTAATAGACACTCTGTGTATTTTTACAAAAATCCTATTCCTTCTCTTGTGCTACAATATACATCTAGCTTTCGGATGGTATCTTTTACAAGCAAGAAATCATTTTTGACGTTCAAATCTCAAACAAGAGTAGATAACCAACTAAGTGACATAGGGTTTAGTTCTTCAGCAATTTTAAGTAGCCAAGCTGATCCTTTGTACTCTTTTAGGGTCACTTCTGATCTTCACCTTTTAAATGAAAGTTTTGATGAGAAGCTGAGGACATGGGAAGAACCTAAGCTGTTACAGTTCTTGCAAACTGAGGATAACCAAGATTTAACAAGCACTGGCTTTGACGCCCTTAAGCTGCAATTATCACAAGGGTTTGCCTTTCAACTAGTGAAGCTTTTTGGATCCCCTGGAGTTCCGATGGGTAAACTGTGTTTATTCGCTCCAAATAAAAAGTCAGTTTAACATATATGAGTAATTTTGGAAGTGTTTCTACCTTGTGTTAGTGATTTCATGCAGTTAATTGATCTCATGATGCTTTTCGGCAGTGGAAGTAGAGGACCCTTGGCAAATGGTGCTTGGTCTTCAGAATCACCTGCCTGCCTCCACCTCGAGGACCGGCAGTCTTAAATGTCTTCGAACACTTAGAATCCTTGGACTCTCAATATAAATAGACACTGAGAACAAAGGATGAGGCAGTCAAACAGTAATTATGTAACAAATAGAGATGGGTTGCCTTTTTAAAAAAAAATCTATTTTATACATTTCCCTTATTTGGCACATGACCCTTTTCTTTCTGATTCACAGTATGACTCGTAGATATGAGAATAGTAAAGAGGGGGGAAGAGTGAAGATTAAATGATAAAAAAATTTTGGAAATGAAAAACCCACCTGAGATTAAAACACATTTTGTGACATCCTAAGTAACATTCTCGGTAGATTTCTTCTAAATAATAAACATATTTAAGATGCTACACGTCTTAAACAGGAAATGGAGCACATACCCCATTTTTCCTTACCTGTAAATCAGCTGCAGCGTCAATGATTTCCTAGAGATGAATGTGTCCCCTTCCTTGGGGAAAGAAACTGTAAGTCAGGAAGTCACAGCTCCCGTCCCCACAGTTCTCTTGTATCTTCCTGATATTCTTTCTTTTCTACACCTACCGGGTCCCTGGGCCCTGCTGTCATCTCACAGCTTATTTTCCAGAGGTTTTTACTTAGCCCCGAAATTTCTGCTGGTCTGGACAGAATTGGTCCTCAGAACCCAGACCCAAGATTGGCTAAGTCTCAGGGCGAGGGATCACAATTAAAAACCTGCCCTTGAGATTCTAGCATTATGTCTATCATTTTTGTAAACTTTGCCTATAATCACATCTTAAACTGTTTGCTACGATATGCTATCCTGCTAGAAGCGCTGAAGAAATACACCAATTAAAAAAAATTAAACTGCATTTGCTATAGGGAATTTTAAATGATAAGTGAAGTCATTTTAAGTCAGGGGTCTTAGTCCTAGGTCCATATTTTAAAATTATTTGCAAAAATTTTTGTGTCATTCTGGACCATTTTTCTGAGACAGTTCATAGATTTTATCAGCTTCTGGGGCAGGGGAGAGGGGGTGGCAGCGCATGACTCAAAAAGATTAACAATCACTGCCTTAGATCAGCATCAGAAAGCATGAAGGCACTGGTGTGAAAAGATTCTAAACCTCCTCCTCCCTTGAATGCACAATACCATCATAATCAACAATAATGATCAAGCATCCATTAATTAAGCTTTGGAAAGCTTTCTAGAGGAAATAGACCTCATTCATCAAATAGCTTACCTTCTAAATGGGGAGACAAGACTAACACAAAACAAAATTACTGCACATAGAAAATATAAATGACAAGCTTATGAATATTTTATGAGCGAGGTTGGCAGTGCTTAAGGGATTGTTGAAGAGAATATGGGGTTATGGTTTTTGGGGGATGGCTTCAATGTGGAAGTGAATTATAAGCAGTGCTTATACAAATGTGGCTTACAAGAAAAATATAGGGAAAGAATTTCACGTTTGGATACAGTGGGTGCTTAAAAAAGGAGAGGAAAAAACTGTAAGTGGAAACTGTCCCCTGATTTGTTTGGCCAGATTGGACAAGTAAAGTCTGATGTATCTGTGGCCCGTGGCCTTGTAAATGAGGCAAGGAACTCAAATGAATCCTGGTCTTAGGAGGAATTTTATAGTAAAGCCACATACAAGCCTGAAGAAACCAAACTACCTATGTTGCCAGGGATATGTGAGTATAGGAAAAATATTTTGTGTGGTTTGGAAGGTTGATATGTATATATCAGTGTTTGGACTTACTTGTGACCATCTTAATTGTCTGTGAGGATTTTTCCCCCGGACTCTCTTATGGGGAAGGAACAGTTGGCAAGAAGACTAAACTTGCTACAATTGCAATGTTTATACATGTCACCGGAAAGAAAAGATGACTACCTAAATTCTATGTCCTGTGACAGTACCACTTAAAGCTATTACATATACAATATGTATGTTATTATATAATATGTATGTATTATTGATATATATATTTGTACTTAATGAGAATATGAGCTATGATACATAGCATTTTACATGTATACATAAGCATTTTTATTGAGTCAGGATAGTGTTTACTAACAAAGCCCTGAGACAAAGTAACTCCTTCTTTAGCCACCCATGAGATATCTTCCAAACCAGGCTTTTACCATTATGTCAGTCTAAATAACATGTTTGCATATCTTCACATTTAGGGTAAAAGTCTACATGACATTAGAGATGAAATTTGTTCCCTTTTATTTTCACAGAATCTTTGTTGCCTGATGACTGTGTGGTTTCCCTTGACTGGAAGACACTGAAGATGATCTACTTGCAATGGAAGACATCAGTAGAGGTATATTTTTATGGCTTTCAAAGAAGACCTTCTCTGATTTCCTTAAAACACACACACACACACACACACACACACAACAACAACAACAACAACAACAAACAATTGGGGAAAACCTGATCACCACATGTAATATGAAGGGCTACATCCCTTATATGAAATTAGAGAAGGACTGTGTGTGGATGGGTGGATAATACATGCTCTTTCAATTTATCCCTAAGAGAAAGTTGCGTTTAATTCCCCAACTCTGCTGCAGTGTAGGCTGGGATAAGGGCCTACTGTGGATGACTGACGTGCCCAGTTTAGGAGAGCCCTTTCTTCATTACATCTTTTCTCCTCTCCAGCCCTCAGTCTTATCCTGTTATGATAGAGTAACAGCTGCACATTAGATTCGTATTACTTGACTTGGAAGCCCCTCATTACTGGTATTTTCTGTTGGTCCATAGTGAGAGACATGACTATTCTGACAGGCTGTTAATTTTCCAGGTAGGTGGAGGAAGACTAATGGGGAAGGTTAGAAAGGTAATAGAAATTCTGGAAAAGACAGTGCACTACATAATGTAGTGGGGAGAGAGTTGACATTAGTTAATAGTGATTTAAATGTGCCCAGAGGCAATGTTAGGGGTACATTATGAGAAATATGGTAAAAGCAAGGTTTAGTGAAACAAAATTATATAGTTCAGGATAGAAGGTATTTCTTAACTGTTCAAATAAGCACAGCTGTGGGAAGAGTAGATTTGTTTTGTGTGCCCAGTGAGTAAAACCAAATACATTTTTCTAAACTTCTTATTTCTTTTCATTCCCCATGGAGAACTTATTGCTGCCCAAACACACACACACACACACACACTCATCCACAACCCCAATATTTTAAATGTTTAAATGGACATTTGTGGTTATTAGGTTTCCTTTGCCATTTTGAGAATGTTCCTACATGATTTAAATGATGCAAACTTAACCCCAATGCCAAATATTAATCATTATTATATGTGTTTTAATTATAATTTCTAGAAAAGACAGAAGAAGATTGGTTAAAAATGAGAATTTCCAGAACTGTAAGTACAGCTTATTCCAGAGACCTCTGTATGATCAGAAGGAAGTGGATGTTGACATTATTTGGTTGTAATAGCTCTATGTACCACAATTGAAGAGTAAATATAAAAAACATAGTCTGTTACCATAGCAACCCTGTGTGCCATTGCACATGTGATTTTCCATTTCCTTTAATGTAGATCTTTTTGTGAAATACAACAAAGCTTAGGTTGTTGTTACCAAATTTATTTCCAACTTTATTGGTTAGAACATATTTTAGAGCATTCTGTCAACACAGGGTTTATGAGGAATTACCACCCCCGCCCCTCTGCCCCAGATTGTTGTGTGATGAGAGCTGGGAATTAGGGATATAGGTTATATTTAAATATTAAAAAATTCTCTAGGAAAGGAGGTAAAACATGTAGACAGACTCACATTATATTTTAAACTTGACATCAAGCTAACTTTAAAATAAACACATTGCACTTTTTTTTTCAAATGCCTAAATTATGAAATAAACACAGCTGCTATGATTTTAGTGTATATGTGTCTGCATTTGATAAGAATTGAATGCACTCTGCATTTACCATATGTTTTCTTTCTTCTTTTTAATCTTATTTCTGAGAGTTTTCTGTGTTTCCATTCCTCAGTTAGAAATACACATGTACCCAGTAAAAATGTTTTTGTGTCTTTTAAACCTGGTTCTGCTGCAAGAAGGAGAAGGACTAAAGGTTTGGGAGAAGAATCAGAGATTTGGAGGGACCGCTAGAAAATGTGGGATAAATGTAGTCTGAGGAGCGATAAGAGGCCATGAGGAATTCCAGAGAAAGCAGGTGAAGAAATTCATTTATTCAGTCAGCAAATATTTATTGAGTTGCCTCAGTTCAGACACTGTTTTATACCCAGAAGCTCTAGCAGTGAAAATGGTCCTGCCCTCATGGAGTTTATGTTAGGACTGAGTTAGGACGGGAGTGTTTTCCCTCCCCACTCCATGAGACACATGGCCCCACCGGGACACCAGTACGGGCTGCGTGCAGCCAGCTTGGACATATTTGGCTGTGGCCAATTTGGGAGTCTTTTCCATCTGCTAAATTTGGATGTTTTGTGTCAAGGACACTTTCTGGAGGATACTTTTGATTTTTATATTCATCTTCCACATTCGTGCTAGACTGCCTTCTGGTCTTCTCCTACAGAGCAGTCACCCCTAATTATTAATCTTTTCTTGTGGGCAGATTTACGAGCGTTGTAGCTATGGACAGGTTTTTTTTATATATATAATGAGAACATGCCTCCGTGTTTTGTGTCTGGCATAATGTACGGATTAGTGGACCTCAAGGGGTAGATAGAAATGTATAGAGGGAAATAGCAGGAGAATGTGGTTGGCTCTAGGAGCCGCAAGTCCCAGCCTGTTTCAAAATCCTCTTCCTGCTGGTCACCAGGGGGTTTTCTTGTCGCTCAGGGAAGGAGGTGGGGCCCAGTGCTGGAAGGAGGATGGGTTCCAGCTTTAAGCTATTGCTGACTGGCTGGCTGACCTTAAACAAGACACCCTCTTGGAGCCTCAATTTTTTCACCTGTAAAAAAACAGATTTATAATAGCAATCTGTCATGGGAATATTAAATGAGGATTAGCGAAACAACTTGTGCAAAGTACTTAACATAGTGCCTGAAAAATAGTAGGCTCTTAGAAGGGTTAATTCCCTTTCTCTAAATATCTCCTTGGGTTAAAGCATTGTCTTTGAAATGTCCCAGGCAGAACAGAAATTATCTAGGAGAGCAACACATTGACTCCATAAGCTTGGTAACACAGTTGCATGAATTAGTATATTTATTATTAACTTTCTCATGTAAATAGCTGGATCCTCAGGGAATGGGACAGAGAACAGGTTTGGATTTGGAGACAGGAGGTCAGGCACTGTGAGGGAAACTGACCCTCTCAGATGAGGCAGGACCAGGCAGGGGATGGGAACTGTGGGAACAGAGTAAAGGCCTAGATGCCAGGGGAGTGGCATAAATAGGGAAATAGCCTGAGAAACTGACAGCAGACTCCGGGTAGGTCACTGTTTGTCTGGAATTGTTTGGCCTGTATTTTGTTTGTAGTTGAATTCTTCGGTCTTCCTGGTGCCGTTGAAGATGCTGACCATCAAGAAAGACTGCTCAGTGCCCACCCAAAGGATTATTTCCAGCGATATACTCATGGGATACCAAAATTGGTTTGGATAATCTGTCCAACCGTTCTTGATTAGTTATCTGAATAATAAAAAAACTCGACAAAAGAGGTAACAACTTGAACATTTTATTACCTAATTTTGAAGATGTTTGCCCTACTTTAATTTGTTTTATGGAAGAAAATAAGGCACGGAAGACTTTAGTAGTTTATTTTAAAAATTGCATCAGGATGGAAGGGTAAGGCCTTATATCCAAGTATGGTCTGTGATTCCATTCCTAAAATTCTAAAATCCAAAAAGCTCTGAAAATCAAAAGCTGTTTTTGTTTTGTTTTGTTTCTTAAATGTTTGGCATTAAAATTAAGTTGGGAGCAAATAACTTGACTCAAACAGGTTAATTTTACTCCTTATTTATCCTACCTAGTGCGACCATGCATACATTTCATTGCAGAAATATTAATGTATTTAATTACCATGGGCTGCCCAGCCCCCACTCAGAATGTAAAGTTATGTACATATGCACATACACACACCCTGTATACAGACAAACACCCACACACTTTCTGAATTCTGAAACAGATCTGACCTCAAGGATATTGGTTAGGATTGTGGGACTTGCACCATACTACAGGTAACTATCTTTTTAAAATTCTGTTTTAGTTTAGTTGTATTTAACAAACTTCAAATGTGAAAATTCATATTTGAAAAACTGAAGCCAGGGGTGGTTACTCACTGTCCAACATGTAGGCATTTTCTTACTCCCTCTGTTTTCAGAAAGGGAGCCTGTATTGTCTTGTCTTACCTCCACTCCACCCTATCCTGTTTGATCTCCAGGGAATAAACCTCTGGGCTTCTCTAGGAGGTGGGCAGGTGCCTGACTCTGGATGCTTCTTTTTGTTTGTTCGCTTGTTTTGTTTCTTAAACAGAATTACAACTGACCTTCCTATTTAGAGCCTCACCTCCAGCCCCAAATAGTCTAGTTCTTGAAATTTTAGGTGTTATGCAGGGTAAATTGTGTTGACTCACAGCTGTCTACAATTCAGGGTTGTTTTCTTTGCTTGTTTGTTTTTGCCAAATTAACACTTGGTCTTTGCTCTCCAGTTTTCAAAACTTTGTTGCTGTAATCTTCTCTTTTTTCTTATAATTTATGCTTAAATATAATAACAAAATAACTGCCCTCCCAAAACATTTCAGTGGGGTTTCAAAGAGGGCGTGGCAATTAAGTATTTGTGTTCCATCTGCCATCTTTATTGGGAATTGAGGGCTTTATTTAAAATAGCTCTATTTTCCCCCTTCTGCTCATTTCGTACAGCTTTAGTTCATCTTTCTACCAGACGGTGGGTCTGTTCCAGATGGAGACCAGGGTCTTCAGTGTTTGCTTGAACTCCTTGAGAGTCTTGCTCTCTCTGTAGGCTCCTAGAGCCATTGTGAAACTGAACTTGCTTTTGGCCGAGGATGGGATGATTTCAGGGAAGAACGACTAGTATTAGTGTCGAGGCATAGATAGCTGCAGAGGGGACTCTGGGAGCTGGCAAATCCTTGCTTTCTTAGGGGTCTTCACCAGCGATACTTATGGATTTCTAATGAATACGGTAGAATCCACACTGCCATGCCTTATCCAAGGGTAATATTATAAATATTTAACAATAACTATGGCATGAGTAGTGACCAGTTCTGAAACACCTTTATGCTGTACTGACAGCTGACCCTCTATCTAGGCTTGTGCCTGGGTTCCAGAACATCCCCAGCTCTCTCCCCTGTCTTTATTATCTTTCCCTAATTTCCAGAATGGAGCTTTAGAAAAATGGGCTGGGGCTACTTTCTCTTGCTCCTAGGCTTTAAAGCTTATAGTCCTTAAGTGCCCTGGTGCCTAGTGGCAAATAGTTGCTGTGTTAAAGCAGATACGGTCCTCACCTTGGGAAAGGGGTGTGGCACTAAAAAGAATAAGGGATGGATTGTGGGAGGCAGAGGCAAAATCAGGTTTGTCCAGAGAACGTGGCACACCTCTCGCAGGCCACCAGACTCCTGTGCATTTCTCCTGTCGATTCAGCCAAGTAGACATACATATGCTGCATCGCTTCTCTTCCCTCTTCCTCCTTTCCCTAACTTCTTCTGGCTTCCTGCAGCCTCCGTCTGGCTTCTAGGGGAAGGACGAGGGAAGAACCAGGAGGGGGCAGTGTTAGCAGAGAGGAGGACAAGGTCCCATCTGGTCCGATTGTGCAGAAAGTGGCAGCAGGTGCAAGTGGAGCTTCTGGATAATCAGGAGTCTACTACACAAACAGCTAGACTTCGTTCTGGTCCTTTCCATTTATATCACTTATATATAACAAGAGAAATATGTATGTGAATAAGACCAATTTATGTTTTTAAGGAAAAAAATGTCAAAAAATTTTTGATAGGGGAAGAAAAATAGGATTAGAGAGCAGTGGGAAAGCTGCTGCCTACATATTTTAACTGGTTCTGCTGCGTTCAAGGGTCTTTGGTTAGACTGCTTCAGAAGCTCCATCTTGGTCTCAGACTTTCTGCCATCTTGGCATCTCTGGGGTAGAAACTTGGGGCTGATTTATAATTAAGCATTCCAAATCCTGGGTTATTTGGAGCTGTACATTTGAGGGTTAAATTCCTGATTTTCACTAGTTCTTCTTATGTACCTCCTTATTTTTCCATGTCTTTTAAACAGTAGTAATTAGAGAAACATTTGAATGTTTCTTCATTTGCCAAAAATGACTTACAATTTTCTTTACGTCTGTCATGGTGATGGTTTCTAGTGCAGCAAAGTAAGATTGTGCTGGTCATCACATAAGCTAGAAGTGGAATGGAATCCTAGAGCTGACAAGTTGGTTGGATGAAATGAAGGCACTAAGGAGTGTTATCACAGGGATCCTCTGACTTGGGTGTAGCCCAGATCTCTGGAGGCTGCCACCTAGGGAGAACCAGTAAAGATATGAATGTAGCTCATAGCAAGCTGGATCTCAGATCCATCGATATGTTTACTGTTTGCTCCTTAGCTGACATTATCATGATCTTGGTTTATTCTTAATATTTAGTAAATCACACTTATCTATTGAGAAAGTAGTTCAGGTCCACATACAATTATTGAGGACCTCCTGAATGTCAGGCTGTCTTATTAGATCTTGAGGGTGACAAGGGTGACACTGTTCCCACTTACAGCCTAGTGGGGGGAAACAGATACACAGATAACTTTAAACAGTGTAGTTTAGAGGAATAAATCAGAAAAAACAGCCAGAGCTTGTTGACTAGTTAAATGTGGGGGTTGAAAGAAAGGAATAGTGTCTGGGGTCACTTCCCAGTACTGCTGCCCATTTTCTCCTCCTTTAAGCTCTTTTCTCCTGGGCCTCCATACATCTCTATTTTAGAGTTCTGTCTGCTTTGCTGATCATTCTCTCATACTCTCCTTTGGCAGATCTACTTCAAAGGCACACTACTTAAATGCTGGTGTCTCCAGGGACCCCTCTTCAGCTAGACAGCTCTATTTCTCTATCTTCTTCTCATAGGGCAAGGATTTCCAAAGCTCTGTCTCTAGCTCAGACCTCTCTTCTGAGCAACACACTCATATTTCTCAGCCTCTACTAGGTTGTTCCATCTGCCACAGACACTCCGGATGCTAAAACCTCAAGACCCCAAAGCTGTGTGTCTCTCTGTGCCCTATCCCACATTGCCTGGGACCCCCTCTGTAGAAGGAGATGGAAGTGGATGGAGGTCTCATGCAGCACTAATAGAAATACACTAGCCACATATGTAATTTAGACTTTTCTAGTAGCTGTCTTAAGAAGGCAAAAAGAAACAGCGATAAAACTTTTAATTCTGTATTAACCCAGCATACCAACATATTATCATTTCAACACATAATCAATATAAAAATTACTGAGATATTTTACATTTTTTTTCCATACTGAACCTTCAAAATTCAGTGTGTGTTTTAATCTCACTTTGCACTAGCCACATTTCAAGTGCTCAATAACGCTGTGTGGCTCGTGGCTCCTGTATTGTACAGTGCAAGTCTAGAATTAAAAAGGTAGTATTTGAGGCTGGGCAAAAACACTCTTGGAAGAAGTATGATAGAACACATAGAAATAGAGGATACCTACATTTAAGCATCACTATTTTTATGAGTCATGTGTGTTCTCCGTTCCTTATGGTTTTCCCCTAATATTTAGAGAAGCTTTTGAAATTCTAGTTTTCTCAGCAGTGCCAAGATCCTTCCTCTGATTCTGAGAAGAGATTTTCAAGGGAGAGCAGCTCATCTCCCCGCCCCCACCTCTCCAGGGGAACCCCAAGGGGAAGGTGCGATTCTCAGCACAGAGCCCCTCCCTACTTGGGCCCTTCTTTCCAAAGTTTATTATGAAATCTCTGGATTTTGTTTCAGAAAGAAATTGCTTTTCTTCACAATTCCTTTTCAAAATTTTCATACCTTAGCTGCCAGAAACAAAATGAATTTACTTTACAGTAATTATTACAGCCAAAGCCACCACATCTCCTGGATTTTTCCAGCATGGTATTTTCAATATTGTCTCTTTCGGTCGGTGCATCTTGAATTTTGGTTCAAAAAATAGGATCACTCTATCACACCCTTGAGTGTGAAATATTGGAGAGTGCTATGGTGATCAAGCAACTGGCACTCACCAGTTCCTGAAACTTAGAACTTAATTCTGGATACTTCTCTATAAATGATTTCAGGAGACTGCTCCTTTCCCTGGGGAGCTGAAATCTTTCCAGAGAGGCCGTGTCTTCTCAGGTGGCAGCCCAAGCCAGTACCTGGGCAGTACAGGTCTTCTCATGAGACCTAGTTTATGCTACCGTTGATAGATCACTCTGAGTTTTAAGGGGAGCTTTTTCTGATGAGATTTAAAGTTATGTAGAGGCGACAAAGCTTTCTAAGAATATTTTTGGCAGGCTAAGAAGGATTAAAAAAAAAAAATGATACAGGCCCTGGGACAGCGGTATTAGCCGCTGGGGCACTAGCCAGATATTGGTGCTCACGAACTGGGGGAGACAATGGACTTTACTGTTACTATTCAAAATGCTGTTCACGTTCTTTAATCGTCGACTAAAATTATTTCACTTTCAAGGTCCAGGCCAGTCGGGGGTGGGGTGGAGGAGGGCTGTTGCAGAGGGCCTGACTTCCATGGCGGGCGGCCCGGCGAAGTATCTCAGTGTCCCACCGGGCAGGCCCTCTCCCCTCAGGGCGAAGGGCACCGAGAGGCAAGGGAGGGCGCTGGCGAGCGGGGCGGGGGTCGGGGAGGGGTGGGGAGCGTCACCCAGGTCCTCCAGTCTGCCAGTCTCCCAGCGTCCCCAGCTTTCCAGGTAGGGACGCCCCCTCCCACGCAGCGCGGTTCGCTCGGGTGGGAAGGAGGGGCTGGGCTCTGAGC